GAAGTTGATGTTTGTTCTTTGTTGTGTGTGTGGTGAAAACTATAATACTAGTAGTTGTCATCACACTGATGAAGAGCGTGCATTGACAGGAACATGGACTGCTGAAGAGATATTGAAAGCCATTGAGGTGGGGTATCGGATTATCGAAATCAAAGAGATTTGGTCTTATGATACTGTGCAATTTGGTGAAGATGTTTCAGGCCTATTCACCGACATGATGAATAAATTCATCAAGGTGAAGCAGGAATCATCAGATTGGCCTAAGAATTGTGAGACCAAAGAGGAGAGAGATAGGTACATTGACGAATTTTTACAACGGGAGGATGTTTTTCTGGAATTTTCTAAAATTACCGATAATCCCGGGTTGAGAGCACTGGCCAAGCTTATGCTGAATTCCTTCTGGGGTAAGTTTGGTCAGCGTGAAAACCAACCGAAAACTTCGATCATCAATCAGCCCTCGGAATTCTTTTCGATGATGACGGATCCTTCCCTCATTGTCAATACAGTACTCCCGATAAACGAGGATACCCTCATTGTTAATTGGGAGTATAAGGAGGAGAGCTATGACACTCTTTCCACTGTCAATGTCGTTATAGCTGCATATGTGACAGCCTTAGCTCGGTTGAAACTTTACAGCTATTTACAGCAGCTTAGGGAAAGTGTGTTATACTATGACACAGACTCAGTCATCTATGTTTCCAGACCAGGGGAATTTGACATTCCTACTGGTCAATTTATTGGTGATATGACCGATGAAATGGAATGTTACGGCCCTGGTTCCCATATCACAGAGTTTGTATCTGGTGGCCCGAAAAATTATGCCTATAAGCTATGGTCAACCAAGGAACAAGAGTTTAAAGTTGTATGCAAAGTTAAAGGCCTCTCACTTAACTATGCTGCTTCACAGCTGGTTAACTTTGATTCTATTAAAGATATGATTTTGAACCCTGGTCCCCCTGTCGAAATTTTGAGCAAACAGTTCCGACGAACCAAGGAACATGAGGTCATAACAGTCGATGTAACCAAAAAGTATAAGCCTGTAAGTTTGAAGCGGAAATTTCTCGAAGATCACACCTCTGTACCTTATGGTTTCAAAAAATTCAAATCATGAATATTTTTCGAAATCACAGTATCGTATTACCATTTTCTATCATTCGGAGGTGTACAAATTACGCTTGAAGCTTTCTAATCAATGTTCTGTACAAAATTCGATAAAATAAATTTCCCCGCTAATCACGAAACTTGAGAGAGAGAGTAAAAGCAATCGTTATCACGGCCGGACTGCACAGCGAATTCTGAAAAATCTTCCGTTTTCACGGTTACTCTAGAGATTTGAGGTGAATAGTTCATTAAGGAAGAAAAATACCCCAATCATCTGGCAAACTAAAGAAGTGTTTCTTTTGAATGAGAAATCGATCTTCGTGCAGCTAGAAAATGGAACAAACAAAATTGCGAGATATTTTATGTCAATAGTCACATGTTTCAAAAAGACGCATTTTCCTGGCGAATTAATGAAGTGTTTCTTCTAAATAAGAAATTGATCTTCGTACAGCTAGAAATAGAACAAACAAAAACTGCTCTGATTTCGTGTCAACAGTCACCTGTTCTATTATAATGAATTTTTCACCCGAAATCTTTAGAGTGTGTGGTTTTTCTATACCTCGAGGGTGGTGGGGAAACAAGCCTATTATACCATGTTTTAGGTCCCATACCAGCTGTTGATGTCAGTGTGACAGCTCTTCAGTATTTCACCAGCTTTCCAACAGTACAGACGTAATCAGCAATGCCAAACTGTGACTGGGGTAGACCATGCAATTGCTGTGACTGCAAACCTAGTTTCTGCTCTTTCTGCCGTAAAGAGAGGGTTCATCATGTAATCGAAGACTACAGCACCGACAGAAACGGGATAGGCGCCTACAGTTTCACGGCATGGTGTGAAGATTGTTTCAAGAAAAGAATGAAATAGATTGTTTCGTGATTGTCTCATCAGTAAATAAAATGATATGGTTTGTTATTGTCTCATGTCTCAATAAAATGTTTGATAAATATTTACATATTTAACTGACCCCATTACGCCCTGCATATTCTTCATTAAACAGACAACCGAAGTATCCTGTTTACCTTGTAATTTGTAATTGAAAAACTTTCTCTCCTATTTCAAAACAGAAAACTAAAACATCCTGTATACTTTATCATTTTTTAAAAAGGCCCTGTATATTTTTCCAGAACCAGAACCCGAACATCCTGTATACAATATAATTCGAAATTGAAGAACTTTTCAAACAAAGGCCAAAACATACAAGAAGGTTCAACTCTGTTTATTCTGAAATCCTATATAGTTTTGACCTGCCTTCATAACATTATGGCAAAACGAGTAACATTTTACGATACTGGAAAGGCCTGTTATCCTAATGATTTATGAAGCACTCTGTATCTACGACATAGACAACTATGAATGAAAATAAAAATCCTACTTCTTTTGTTAGCTGTAAATCCAGAATGAAACTGAAAATCCTAATGATTTATGAACTACCCTGTATTTAAATAACATTCAGTTTCTATTGTTAACATAAATCTAGAAGGATATAGAACTGAAAATCTCAAAGTTTCACGAAACACTCTATAACTACGACAGATACAGCTGTGAATGAAAATAAAATTACTTACTACTTCTTTTGTTAGCTGAAAATATAGAATAGAACTGAAAATCCCGATATTTCACGAAACACCCTGTATTAAAATTAAATTAAATTTCTGCTGTTAGCGGAACTCTAGCAGAATATAAAACTAGAAATCCTGATGTTGCACGATACACCCTGTATTTTAATGAAATTAAATTCCTGTTGTTAGCGGAACTCTCTAGAAGATATAAAACCTAATGACTTACGAAACACCTTGTACATCAACTTCAACTACATCAATTTTTGCTTCTTGTTATTGCTGATGAGCAGAGCCTCTGTAGTTGTTTTTTGTTATCCAAAATTCATGCGTTTACAAAATTCCTGTAAATGTTCTGTAATGAACCTAACAATAATTACAAAGAACTAAAATGAAATCCTAATTCATCGCTAAGACACAATACTTTGATAACTATAGTTTTCGTATCTTTTCACATATGATACCTACCTATCCAAACTGACATTCTCGAAAAACTTTAGCCCGAAGGTCCTGTCGCGAAAACCGAGGAATTTTACGTAATTTGAAAGAAAAACAGAAAAATAAGCCACTTACCAATTTCGTTGAACAACTGCTATATCCAGAAATAAACGAGTACCTATATGCAGTAATGACCGCTCCATTCTAATTTTCCACAAAAATACACTTTCACCTCACAGATGGTTTTTTTTTGGCAATGAAAAAACACTGAATCTTATATGTCCAACACGAATGAAGATTGAAATAAGACTCCGATTTGAGAGAAATTTTGTTATTCGAACTTTAATCAGACACAGGAAATAGCGCGAGTTGTAACAGAAAATCTCCGCGATGAGATTGGTTGTTATACAGGGTATAATCTGCCATCAATACAGAGATGTGTAGGTAAAATCTTGTAGTGATGACACAACCGACACTACCTTATACCTAATTTGTGACATAACCTCGAGAAGCATTGTATCGTTTGTCTAGTAATGGTATGTTCGTGGTATTTCGCTATCATCGAAGGCTTCAACTAGGTTTCATCAGTATTTCACTAATATTGATCGGAATAATCAGTTAGCGCGTCATATCTGTCATATGTTACGTATATGCTTGCAAGGTCCGCCTATGGCCAGTTCTAACAGTGAGCCCCCTTATATATATATATATATAAAACTAGGGAATATTGGGGACTGCAGCAAGTCAAAAAGAGTACTCTTTAAAGTTGGACCAACTTTAAAGAGTACTCTTTTTGACTTGCTGCAGTCCCCAATATTCCCTAGTTTTATTCCTAACTAGTCAGCAACGACTACCCTTCTACAAATATATATATATATATATAAACTTTTTTACAAGCACACTGTATATTGAACGGGTGCATCAGCTAGCACGTCAGTTGTCTGATATGATTGCTGATGTCATTCTTTCGTGCAAAATATCACTTATACACATCTAGCTCTACTATGTTCCCCATGCCACACAAAACATTTTCAGCTGGCGGTTTGGCAGCATTGTTCAAGGCAGCGACTCTTATCACGCAGAGTCTTGGTATATTGTCGTTATCATGGAAATATTTCATCATAATTTTATTTCGTTGTACTAACGTCTTATCAACCTATATATAGCTTTGCTCGCTGATCCTCGATGATCCCATTTGAATACGGTTTTCATAGTGAAATTTTCGTGGCCTCCTGAATGGCTCAGTGCGTGTATACGCTGCCTCACAATGCAAAGAACCCGAGTTCGATCGCCAGCAGTGGAGGTTTTTTTTAATTTATTCACGATGATGATGTCATGACAATTTGAATTTCGCTCCGCTCGTGGGGCCGCGAGTAGCTAGCTGAGTCAAGCCGGCCTGTGATTGACTAGTCGGGTCACGTGGTTTGGAGAAAGTGGAGGGGTGGGGCTGGTCTGGAGTGACGGGCTTCCTACTACAGTGCTATAACTTCATATCACTGTAGACTTACATAGCAATGTAAGTGAAAATATACAGCGAGTCGAATATTTGCTATTCTATTACATCATCTGTAAACTTGATAGATACATTTTAGCATTCATAGTGTTCCTAACTTTGGGATGCTACAATATGTATGAATTTTACCGTTTCATGATAATAACAGTGTGTTCTGTGTTTTATGAATGTCATTAACCTTACCTAACCAAGAAACTCTTTGTGAGTTTTTGGAGATACCTATTTCTTATATGGCATGAATTTATTATGAATATGGCAAACAGGTAAGAATTGATTGAAACATTATTTATAGGTTGTCTCACTATGCACAGAAAAATGTTGTAGTTCTTTGAATAAACGAAAACGAACTCAAAATACAATAGCAGAGCAATATGAATTATACTTAGAATACATGGAGGGAGATTTTATATTCAGAAGCAGCACCATAAACCCCACCGTCGATCCAAACTACATAGAAAAAAAATGGGAGGAACTAGTGGGTAAATTAAACTCCTTGGGCAAGGGACCTGTTCTTTCCGTTGAGACATGGCAAAAGGTATGTTACTCAATTGCATCAATATCAGTAAAGAATATTTGCTAGGTATGCATTTTTTATAGAGATTTAAAGACTGGAAAAACTCTACCCGTGCAAAGTATAGGAAAATATATGAAAACAGACTTATCACAGGTGGTGGTGTTGGAGTCAAAATAGAATTGACGCCTTTAGAAGAAATAGGTCTGTCAGTTTGGGGCAAAGTTGCTGTGACAGGAAGACCACTTGTTATGGTATCAGGAGGATTGGCTGGATCCACAAATGATCATCTTGATGAAATAGAGAATCTGGATGAAACTGAAGAAACTGCTGTCTCCACAAATGAGGGCATTGGAGATATTGAAGAAATAATTATTTTGAATGAAGGTGAGAGTGCAGAAATTTATGAACCTCACAATAGATTCAACTTGAAAACAGATAGAACTATGAGTCCTGAAAGAAATCATGGAGATAGAAATCAAGGTGTGATGAAAAGTTCCATCAGAAAAAAAAAACTTAAGAGGACAAATCGTCTGAACCTGAATGACTCTGCTCAACTGCTGAAAAGTTCATATGATGAGAAAACAAAATCACTCCAGGAAATAAGCAATACCATATTAAAATTTGCCAACACCTATGAAGAAATTGAAAAGGATAGAAATAAAATTAAAGAAAAGAAATTGGAGTTTAATATTGCCAAATTTAAATTTTTGAATCCAGATTTCGAACTTTGATTTTGTGCATGATTGTGTTCTGAACTACTCAACACTAATTTCGTCACACACCAAAATGTCGCCCCTGTTATAATGTGAATAACTTTTTTCAGTTTAGACCAATTTGAATTTGGTTCACACTGTTCGATAGCCCAGTCCTTCAGCTATAATCTGGTACTTCATTGAAACATAAGGGTATTCACATAAAATCTCTACATGGTGTTTTCCGACACTGTGCAAAATTTCGGAATATTCAAAAGGCTTTCAAATGGCAAAAAATTTTTTTTTCTCAACTTCGACAACAGAGGCATGAAGATGATCTCATCACCTCGAGATATTTCGCGAATCAACTTTCTATCTCTCTCTTTTACAGAGTGATCTCAAAAAATCAACTTTTCGGTTTTGCAGTCATAACTTTTTTCCACGTCAACCGATTTTGGAAATCTTAGGCTCATTTTGAAGATAAAACTTCAGATGAAGAGATCTGAATATCAGAATTGACCCAAGATGGCTATCAAAGATCTAGAGTTTTCTTGAAAGTGACCCAAATCTAGAACGCCCTTCGAATCTTGGTTGGGAGGAGAATTGAATGAAAATCAACTTGTTCTCGGAAAAACAATTCATTCTGGATGCTTCCGTATTTTCCTCGCTCTCAGTAGTCAAGAATTGTGCGTGAGAAAACACAATTGAATCATGTTCTTGCAAAAACATTAGATCATTTCTCCTCTGTAATGCATGGCCCGCCGTATCCAACGTTACAAGAATCACAAGGAGTGACCAAACCCGACCAGCTGAGGCTCTTCATAAATGGTGTACCAACAAGAGCAACGGCTTTTGATTTTTTTAACAGTTGTCACGTACATAACATGCGATTTAAGAATATGGAGAAGTATTCAAGCCAACAACGTTTATTTATTGTAAAAACGCATTTCAAAAATGGTGAAAGTTTCACGAAAACAGTTTGCCAATTACGTAAAGTTTTCAGTCGCAATAATGCGCTGAACGAATCGACAGTAATAACTAAACAATTCGTGTCGGAGATAAGCCCTTTGAATGGATTGGACTGTCGTGTTTAGCAGCCGCGATTTGGAGGGAAGATAACCCTTGTTCCCTCATTTGTGGAATCAGTCCCAACTGGTCGGGCGTTAGATGCGGCATCGAAACTATCAAAATCTGTTTATGATTCGAAAACGACGTCTAACCTGACTTGTCAGTCACTTACTGTGATTCTTGTAACGTTGGTTACGGGCCATGCATTACAGAGGAGAAATGGTCTGATGTTTTTGCAAGAACATGTTTCAATTGTGTTGTCTCACGCACATTCTTGAGTACTGAGAGCGAGAAAAATATGGACGCATCCAGAATGAATTGTTATTCCGAGAACAAGTTGATTTTCATTCAATTCTCCTCCCAACCGAGATTCGGAGGGCGTTCCAGATTTGGGTCACTTTCAAGCAAACTCTCGATCTTTGTTAGCCATCTTGAGTCAATTCTGATATTCAGATCTCTTCATCTGGAGCTTTATCTTCAAAATGAGCCTAAGATTTCCAAAATCGGTTGACGTGGAAAAAAGTTATGGCTGCAAAACCAAAAAGTTGATTTTCTGAGATCACTCTGTAAATAAGAGAGATAGGAAGTTGATTCGCGAAATATCTCGAGGTAATGAGATCATCTTCATGCCTCTGTTGTCGAAGTTGAGAAAAACATTTTTTTTCACCATTTGAGAGCCTTCTGAATATTCCGAAATTTTGCACAGTGTCGGAAAACACCATGTAGAGATTTTATGTGAATAGCCTTATGTTTCAATGAAGTACCAGATTATAGCTGAAGGACTGGGCTATCGAACAGTGTGAACCAAATTCAATTTTTTCTAAACTGAAAAAAGTTATTCACATTATAACAGGGGCGACATTTTGGTGTGCGACGAAATTAGTGTTGAGTAGTTTAGTTCAGAGTTGATTCTTAATTTTTTTTCAAGAACTGATATTTTATTTTCCAGTGTTGATTTTTTTAGTTTTATCATTGTTTTGTCATAAATTCACCTAGTAAAATGTGAAGAGATATAGGTACATTTCTTTCCACTGATTACTATGTATTATGATGTTCCAAAGATATATTTGATTGGATTAATAAAAGTCTGAATTGGTATTATAGCAGTTTATTGAAATATTAATTCATTTCACATATTATTTTCCCTAATATATTGGTTTCTAGCTTGACGTCCCAAGTTGGCAATTCCATCAAAATCTATTTCAGCAACATTCTGTTGCACATCATCTTCCAACTCTTGATCTTCTTCATCATCATATTCATGCAATGGAATATTTTCACTTAATGCCATATTATGCAACACAGCACAAGCATAAATTATATATGCTGCCTTACTAGGATGATGAAGGAGCACTCTGTGTTGAGATAGACAAGCAAATCTTTTTTTCAGAACACCATTTGTTCTCTCAATAACATTTCTTGCAGAACGGTGCTGATGATTGTACCTATCCTCTGGGCTACCTTCTTGGAAGTTTAAGAATGGTGTGAAGAGCCATGGTTCTATGCCATATCCACTATCTCCAATCAAATGAGAGCTTCTATCACCTCGTTCATACTCATTTTTTAAATGATTTCGAACATTAGACATTCTGAATATGGCAGCATCATGTACTGATCCTGGATAGCGAGCATCAACAGCTAGTATTTTCAGGTCGGCATCAGAAACCAACATAACATTAATTGAATGCTTGCCTTTTCTATTTATGTAAACAAACGGTGGATGGTCTATGTCAGTCTTTGGAGGAGCCATGATTTCAACATGGGTACCATCAATAGCCCCAATTACACCTCTTTCACCCCATTATTCATGAAACTTCACCTTCACTGAATTTTTTGAATCATTGGTTGTTGGGAACTGAATCCAAATATCCATTAAATGATTTGTTATCAAGTGAGAAACTTCTTTGATTGCTCTGCTTATTGATGGTTGACTCAAGCAGTTCCAACTTGACAGCCCTACACTACCCTGAAATGAACCACTAGCAAAAAATTTAGGGTAGCTAATACTCTCAAATGGAAAGGTATAGCAGTGTTTCTCATTGTTGGATTTGTATGTGCCTGTATAGCTTCAATAAGATGTAAGGCGAGATTTTTTGATAGTCTATACATTTTTCGAAACTGTTCTTTTGGCACTTCGAATGGTTTCTGGCTATCTCGCAACATACGACACTCTTACCGCATTTCATTCCTAAAAATTATCAAATTGCAAAACAATAAAATTACTGAATTTATCACTATCACCTGTCATAATCTTCTTCGAGTGAGAGAAAAGCAAAGAAATTGATGTCCATAATAATATCGATGATTTCAATGTATAAAAATCAACATAACCTACAATATAACGTTACGTCCGAAATTTCGTGGCCATAAATGTTACAGCGCGTTTTGACGTATTTTAGAGCGGGATGTTGCATTATAACATGTACAGAATAGCTATTCCAGTACAGTGAGGTAAATTATCAAGGTCACAGATTTACATCGCTTATGGATGTTACAGAATAGCACCATTAGATTGTTAACGTCCAAGTAGAGAAGATGCTTTGATGGTTTAGTAGGATCATATGTTGAAGTGTACTTATGGTTGGCTTCAGAATAGCGTTTACAACAAACCGAAATACCTCCTCTTATCGCCTTTTCGACAAACATCAGCATGTCAACATCTTTTAAAATTTGTAACGAACATTTTGTGTACTTCAGCATACAATCCCACGTATAACCTGGAAGGGTGTAATACCAAGCCGGATCTAAGGTATACGTTCTCAAAGCAGCTTCTCTGAATTGTTCAAAAACATCTGCCAGAAGAAGGATATCTGTTTTCATGTATAAATCCGAGTATTCACCTAAATTTTGACATCCAAATTGTTGCCATACATTTTGAGCATGAGCGTATTTCATATCATCAATATTCCCATCGTTCAATTTATTGTAGAATTTCTCAATGGGTGGAAGTTCAGTTTCGTCTAATTTGCTTGGACTATTGATGTGGTCATATGGGAAAACACCTTTCTTTGTGAGTAGATCGAATTTAGAAGCGTCTCATTGATTGTATTCTTTTCTCAAATTTTACAAGTTATCCTTCGTCAAATTGGAGGCCAATTCGTCCAAACTGGCACCCAAAAATCTCAAAGAATCGATGAATCTGAATATAATACCGGTGTCAGTGTTGTGTTGGGTGGAAGAAATGTATCTCCCCATATTTATCGGAAGTACGCTCACCTGTCCACGTTTGGCAATCTCTCTTAGAAGGAAATGAGAATCATATCCGGAAAAATTGTGGAACACTATGGGCACTACGAAGGACTTGCAGTACCCCAAATTACAAGATTGATGCGCCCACCCTCTGAAGGCGCCAGTGAAATGATGGTGGTCTTTTACAATGATATCAGTGCCCGCAAACGCCTTTTCACAGATATGGCAGTGTGTTACACCAACCCTATCTGGGAAATGAGTCAGAGGAACAATGTCTTTGATTTTAGACTGTACAAATTTCGCGACAACTGCCATTTCTATGGCAAAGCAATCTATGCAATGAGGACCTCGATGACTCTTGTAATAGGACAAGCTATCATCATATGAGCATTTGAAATAGTACCCTGCGCTGAAGGCTGTGTGTTTTTGATATTC